GAGCAGCTGCGTGCAGCCACCTCTCCTTACTCCTCTGCAGGGATTCCCTTCTGCTGGATTAGCAGCTGGATCTTGGATGTGTTTTCCAACCTATTCCATGATTCTAAAGTGCAATCCATGGGAAGAGAGGTGGGGTGATGTGCTGGGGGAGCCTTTCCCTCTTCCTTCAGCTCTCCCCGCCTCCTGAGCAGAGCACATCTGGGGTCGGGGAGCTTCAGGATCTGGAGATGGTCAGTGGGGTTGGCTGTTCCCTGGCTCTGCCTTCCCTGGGTCATAAATTTCTAATGGAAAGGAATGATTATTTTTTTCAATACCAGATCATTTTCTATGCCAGGAGGGAGCTTGGTCTCCCTGGGTAAGGGAACATCCCAGTTTTATGCCCCACCCAGGCAAGCCCAGGAATGGAGATGATTAAACAACAGATGGGCCCATCCTGTTCCTCAGGTATTGAAGAAACACCCTCAGTCTTGAAAATAGACTCCTTGAGGGCTGTGAGAGACGACCAAGCAGCACATCTTCCACAGACCATCTGTCTGGCTCCTGCTGGAGGAATCATTTTCCTAGGAAACTGGGAAGAACATTGCTGTGCCATCGCCCTCTCTATGGAGAGCAGGGGGATACGTGGAGCCCGGGACAGAGGCTGTCCCTGCCTGTCCTAAGAGAAGGGGTCAGGGGAGGCATTTGGTTGGATCTGGAGCCTTCAAAGGATTGATTGAGGCCCTGGGCTGTGTCTGCAGAGCCAGACGGCGTTCCCAGGCCGAGGCTCGAGGAAGGGTGAGCCCGAGGTGGTCAGCAGGACAAAGCTGACTTGTGCTAGGCATGAATCACCCCATTCTTGTCCCTCTGGAGCAGATGCTGCGAGCCTGGCTGAGGGCATCTCCTGCCTCCTTCATTAACAGATCCTGCCAGCCTGGCTCCTGCTTTGTCCTCATCATCCTTTTGGGAGCATTTCAGCTCTGGTGTGATGGCAGAACCTCCATTCATGCTCCAGGACACCAGTCCCACTCCACCCTGCCCTAGCCAGGGTGTTTCCTAACCCCCTTTATCCCCGTGATTCCCGAATGACTCTGCCCTAGGAGATGGCAGAGCTCGTTACAAATTCACTTCTCCAACAGCCAGGATTCCCCCCCTTTTCTTTTCCGAATTACTCGGCGCTCATCATGCTGAATTAATCCAACTGGCAATTTATCCTTTGTAAATTAAATACTAGGGCAGGGTGTAGTCATTAGCAGTAGCTAACTACCCAGTCAAGGCTCCTGGCGCTCTGCTAAGGCAGCAAATAGAGTGCCATTCTCTGGTGGCTTTAAACCCATGTTGTCTGCTGGGGCTGTGGTGGCCATGGGAAGCTCATGGGTGGCTTTTGGGTCCACCCAAGGGAGATGTGAATCACCCGAAGTGTGAGCAGGCAACACTAGCACCTCATGTCTGCTCCATGGATGCACAACTGCTGTGTGCAGGGGTCCTGAGGCTCCTGTGGAGTGGATGCAGCTGCTGTCCAATGCTTGGCGTAGGATCACCATGGTTGCCCCAGAGCTTGGTGAAGCCCAAGCTGTGGCAGTGGGACCTCTTGGTGCAGAGATCCAAGCAAGGCACCTCCTTGATGCTGGGTTTGCACTTCTGCAAGAGTTTTATTGTGTTCCCAGCCCTGTTGATGCTGCCCCAGACCGTGGGGGGATGCTGGGGATGGAGACCATCACCCCAAAGAGAGCCCATTCACCATCACCAGCAGGAGGGAGCTGCTGGGGGCTGAGAAGATCCTGGGAAGCAAAGCTTTGCAGCTTCTTTTAATATTCTGTCTTGGGGGCACAGTAAAAACAGACATTTGGGATGCATTACTCTTGCTAGAGTTTTATTGAAGGCCGTTTATTGTTTTCAGATGCAATAAACCAAGCAAGGGAACCCACGAGACCGAAGGGTCGAAATATCTTTCAAGCGCATCCCATCTCCTCCTGCTGAGCTGTGGCCCCACTAATTACCCTGAGATTGTCTACGAGCCTGTGGCAATTAAAATCTAATTACAGTGAGTTTGCCTGTCACCACGGGTAAAACTCTGCCCCACTTCTTAATGGGAAGGAAACCCCATCCCAGGGAGGGTGAGGGATGAGGCGAGGATGCTCTTCAAATATTGATGTAGTTCCCTTGGCAAAGTTGGATCCATCAGCTCCATGGGAATTTTATGGATTAACATTGGTGCTGGACACCTCTGTCTTCAGCTGGTGGTGCCCTCCAGGTTCCTCTGTATCTTGCTCATGAAAGAAGAATAAACTTTGCTGCCTTCAGCAAGGAGTTGGCTTCTGCAGCACCAATATTTGACGTTACTTCCCATTTAAAAATCCATGTCAGTGTTGCCTCAGGGTAGGCAAAACCCACCCCAGTGCAGAAGGGATGGGTTTGGAGCTGTAGAAATAAATCTTGAGGGGAATAAATTACCTCCAAGGGTTGGCTGTTGATTTTGTATATCGTGGGGTGGGACGGAAATGGAACCCCATGGGAGAGGTGGCTGGACATGTGGTATTCCTGTGGTGGGGATTGAATAAGTAATAAATTAACAAATAATAAAGTATTTGCAGGAAAAAAGAGAAATCCTTAATATTAGTTGATGATTTTAAGCAAAGCCCAGATCCTCTGTGTGTTGTCTCACATGATATGTCTCTCTCATATTAGGAAGAGATTTTTTATGGAAACAGTAGTCAGACATTGAAATGTGCTGCCCAGGGAGGTGGTGGATTCACCTTCCCTGGATATTTTCAAGATGAGACTGGATATGGCACTTAATGTCATGGTTTAGTAACGACAGTAGGGTTGGACATCATGATCCTTGAGATCTCTTCCGACCTGGTTGATTCTATGATGGTTTGAGATCATCTCACGGGGGAGTCAGCATCGTCTCATGGGGGTTTGGGGGGGAACAGTGTCAGCTCCAGCGGGAGAAGCTTTGCCCACCCCCAAACCTTTGCTGTGACCCACTTTTGGGGGGTTTTGGGGAGATGCAGACAGTGAAGAGTTGCCCCCAGCGCTGTGATTTTGGGGGGTCTGCTCGACA